CTGCAGAAGTATTAAATGTGTTTTGTTTTCTCTTTCAGGAGCTTTTCCTCCACTGCAGGGTCAAACAAAAGCTATTTCTCGGGAGATGACCCTCAGTAACCTGTGGCTAGTGGGCATACAATCACTTGCATTTTTGTCAGGCGGTATGTGGTACTGCATCTTTCAGTATTTTTATCATTGCCTATTTTAAAAGTGGAATGGGACCTGAGGACACAGTGGGAATCCAGGCTCTTGCAAATGAGTGTCATGTTGTGTGTGCAAATGTGAATATTCAAGAGTAAAGGCAAATACTGGACGGACTCTTACCTCTCTTTGGGGAAATTTTAAACTCCACTAAAAGTGAAGGTCGGTAACATAGTGACCTGATGATGTATTATTTTAAGAATTGTCTGTATTTTTAAAAATGTATACTCTCACCCACACTTAAGCAAATTCAGCATTTGGACAAAAGGTGCAATCGTACAACCACCGTAGAAGAATGTCTGTGACAAGAAAGCTCTGTCACCTCAAGTATTTCTTGGCATTGTAGTTAGAGCTCAGAAAATTCAGCAACTTGTCTCTTCAGTAGTCTGTACAGCATCTGTGTGGTAGAGATTCCTCATTTGCACAACTTGTACTTTATGGCAACTCATTGTGCTGGAGTCAAAGATACTCAGCAGAGCTGGTGGCGGTATCTTTGCGGCTACACAGTCAGCAGTTGTTGTATTAGACACGTTGATCTAAAACCAAGACCCAAATAAGATCCAGCGTCAGGTGTGTTTTGTGAGGAATTGGTCCTCAAAAAAGCATTGCAGCATCATAGTGTGATGAAAAGCTGTCCACGTTTGCTGAATCAGCCCATCCCCGCTGTGGTCTTACCATCAGCTCTCCAAATTCTGTACGCTACCAGTATCTCGTATTATGAGGAAACTTGGAAAATGTAAAGTCACTTGCGTAATTTTCCCTTTATGTTCATCTCAACTATCATTATCATTTTTCAAAATGCACTTTTAAAAGTAAAAATACAGTGAAGAAAAGACACAAAACTTAGGGAATACAGGAAAGCTTTATTTGTTGTGCGTTGGAAGCCAGAGCAATTCTAGCTGTTTCTGAAGGTCTGCTGGTGCTGCTGGTGATTTTTAGCCACCTTTGTATTTTGTATACTGCAGTCCAACCAAGGTGACCTTTGAGTGGTTTATAGAGGCCTTTTTCTCCCCCGCTAGTTGCAACAGCACTAAATATACTTGTGGGAGAGTTTAAATAATTCAATGCCAACCATCTTAATGTTTTGCTAAGGAATAATAGAAGAAAAACTAGTTTCTTAAAAAGAAAAAATAGGTGTAATTGCTATCATAAATCTACAGGAACATACTACTGCGAAAAAAAAAAAGGTATGGGAAATACTCTGAATAACTACACGGAGGGCAGTATTAATTAGCTCACCACTGTGCTAAAATCTAGCTGGAAGAAGGATGAGTTGAATTTCAAGGCAAACTGGAACAGAAGACACGTTCAGATGTGTAACACAGGATACTTCTGAAAGGCTGTTGATGTACGGTCTTACTTCTGGCAAGTCTAGCTGGCATTGTGTTTATGTGATTATACACAGATTTGAGAGAGCTGTTCTTAAAATAAAACTAATCTCCCTAAATACCCACAGGGTAGCCAGAACTTCAGATGTTGGCATACTGCCTTTTACAGAGTAATTTTACTGAGAACAAAGTAAGCCCTCAGTAGTTTTGGCTCTGAGTTGGCAATATTGATCCCCCTTCTCTCTCCCTCTTCTGCTACATGAATCACAGTGGGTGGTGTGCAGAATACAAAACTGAGCCGGTGTTCCTTTTCGGGGGGGGGGCGAAGAGCATACCAAAATACGAGGCAATGCCAATTTCTCCGACTTAAGGGAAAAATACCTAGTCAAATATGCCACCCCTATCCCCCCCAAAGCAGTAGTTTGCTCCTAAGGTAGCTCAGTGGGGATGGCTGCAAAACGATCAACTTAGTAAGTTCCCCTGCGCTGAGTCCCTTGGTTGACTGAAAAGGAGCACTGCAGCTGGGAGGCAAAGGATGGTGTTGGCCTACAGCTTCACGTTTTAGGTAAGATACTGTTTCTAAATCCCATCCCTTTACACCCAGTCACACAACTGAATTCTGGTGTAACGTAAAATCCATTTAGAGAGAAGTGTGCCCTGAAAGGGAGGCAGTCTTGGGAATTGTTTGGATTTCCCCCCCCCCTCTTGCTAAAGTACAGCTGATGGAATGAATGTATTTAATCTGCCATTTGACAGGAGGGTGTTGGGGCAGCCCCGCGCCGTTACCATGTAAGTGGTTACGTCTGCTGCACGTGGGCGTAAACAGACTCTCAAAATTGCAAAATGCAGATGGCAAGCTACTTACTTCTGTCCTCCACCAGGTGGTTTGGTCAGAATCACAGAGATGCCCATAGTACAGTGTCGCAAGCCGGTCAGAAACCGGAGCGAGGTTACATTCGTGTTCTCGGGAACAGAATTAAGACTCAAAACGGAGTCAAGCGCCCAGAGTTTTATTTACTTAACACTGAGGTTCGCGAATGTACAAAAGAGAAAGAGAAAGAAAAAAAGTTAAAATAGTTACCACCACGGGTCCGAGGCGTTCCGACGCAGCCCGTTCACAGAAAGGCACAGCTAAAAACAAAAACCGAGCAAAGTAGAAGCAACAAAAAGGAGCAGCAAGAGTCCGATAGCAATGCAGAAGCAGCAAAAAGGCGGGTGAGAGCTGCACCTGCTGTGCATGCAGAAGCAACAGAAAGAAAAGTCAAAAAGCTGCCCTCGCCGCTGATGGTTTCTCCGCTTTATCCTGTCCACCCATGACGTCCGTCATGAACAACGCCACCCATCACCCGGTGGTGGTACGCATGCCCAGTGCCATCCCTAGGGGGTCTTTGGTGGTCTTCGGGGGTCTTTGTGCCCCTCTGTCTTTCAGACCCCGGGCCCAGGCTCATGCGTGCTGGTTGGGTGTCGCTTCTCCGGACAGGCCTCCCTCAACTGATAACAACGCAGCATGTGGTTATCTGGTACAGGCCTCCCTCAACCGATAACAACGCAGTAGCAGGACGTGTGGTTATCTGGCAGCGAAGCAGTGGCAGGCGCGGTGGTCTCCGGTGGCCTCCAGCAATGTTGAGACAGTACAACTGACGGTCCCTTACATACAGCTGATTTTATTTTGAGCTAGGACAGACTGGCGTGATATAAAAAGGGAAGTTTATATGAGCAGATTGCACAGCAGTAACTCGCATCAGGAGATTGTTCTTTATAGACCCTGTGAACTCCATGTAAGAGCATATTGTTTTTTCAAATGCAGTATTTTTTTTTTTCCGGTGGATTGCAGTCAATAGTGAGTGTTCACATGCTGCCTAAAGAAATTAGTAAGGCGCAGTAATGTTTCAGATAATGGTTTGATTTATCTGGTCCTGTTCACTTTCAGTTTGTTCCTCTGTAGTTCTTACTATTGCGAGACATTTCTTTTCAAGCACTGATTGTTGTTTCGGTAGGGTGAGTAAATAGTATTAGGTCTCACTCAAGCTTCTTTCCTGCCTGCACTGGAAAATGCGAAGAGCGCCTGACGTTGTGTCTCCTTACGGCTGAGCTGCTGTAGATGACAGTGGAATGAAATGGTTGTTAAGAAACTCTGAAGTACCCTCCCAGCAGGAACTTGGATGCTGCTTCATGAAAGAGAATAAATTGGATAAAGAAGTTTTTCTATTGAAAGAAAAGCATAAAATGGATACAATATATAGAAAAATCTGTTCTAAAAATACCATGCTGGTCAAGACTGTTTGGAGCTTAGCAGGCTCGTTTGTAAAGTGTCCGTTCCTGTCGGTTGCAGTTCGGTTCTACCCTCTGGCAGTTGGCTCGTGTTTCAGACCTACTGGGCATTGCACTGCACCATCCATGGGCGGCGTCTTCTGAAGAGGTCAAAAGGCATTTGATAGAAAGTGGTGTTAATGACCCGTACAGTTGATCACAAAATGGTTAATCAATATAACTTTGAGTTTATATTAGGGGAAATATCATGGAAGAATGTATAAAGTGATAAAGAACAAAAAGCCACTAACTGAAAGCTGTTGCATGCAGAGGCAGAACACAGCAATTGAAGTGTATTGTGAGTAAGGATGGTTCTCTGCCAGGGCTGCACACAAAACATCTGTACATTTCTGTGTTTAATTGTTCATAAACAAGTTGTCACAGTTGAAACGATGGATCCTAGTGGTTTAGCGTTACTGCTCTTCACATCCCATTACATGAAGGGTATCTGCCCATTCACGAGTGGTGTTTTCTTCAGTGCCCTTTGGCGGGTGCGCCTTCCTTACAGGTTCTCTTGTACTCTACATACCGTTCTATCCAATATTGCAACAACAATGTCTCTTGCAGGAGGGATTTTTTTTTTTTAAGTTACTTTCACCAGATTTCGAAAAGCAAGATTTCAATTTACCTTGCTCACTGGGAAATTAAATAAAAGCTTCCTTCTCCCTCCTCCACTCCCAGCATTAAATAAGATGCATCTAATTGCAATACAAATGCAATGATCACTGTGGTACTGTTCATTATTCACTTGCTTTGCAAATGATGTAACTTTTTTTTGTCTGACACTGCCATAAAGTGCTGTTAACTTTTTTCACCTGTTTGTACAAGATAATACAGATACCGATCACTGTGTGTGACAGGATTCAACTGCTCCACTTTGCCTTGACATAAAATTTTTGGGACCAAAGGTACTTAAAACTGGGATTTCCAAGTCACAAGACCGGGGTTGGGTGCGTTCTCTTGTTAGTCAGCTGGAGATTTTGTGGTGATCTGATACAATCACATGGAATAATTATACATCTGAGGTACTGTATTGTTCGGAAATAATGGAGCCATATGAAATAAAGGGTTATTTTGCAAAATTGCATATTTGATAGTTTTTACACTTTTTTTAAAAACTGAACAATTGGAAGAGCAAAATTGAAACCGTACTCTGGTTTAAAATGTCTGCATGCATTATGAACACTTCTGAGCAGCTTCATTTTTTCTCTTCAAAAACTGTAGACTACCTGGCTGTGATACAAAAGAAGTCTTTAAAAGGATTCTATGCATTTTATAGTTAAACCTTTTATTTTATCATTGGATAATCATAGAATCATAGAATCATTACGGTTGGAAGAGACCTCAAAGATCACCAAGTCCAACCGTACACCTGATGCCACCCTGTCCACTAAACCATGTCTTGAAGTGCCACATCTAGACGTTTTTTGAACATCTCCAGGGACGATGACTCCACCACCTCCCTGGGGAGCCTGTTCCAATGCCTAACAACTCTAACAGTGAAGAAGTTCTTTCTAATGTCCAACCTGAAGTTACCTGAAGTAATTATTCACTGAATGACTGTCCTATTAAAGTGAGTTAGTTCCTTAAAATTACTCTACATTGCTGTTCATTTTGTATGATAAAAATTAGTTTTTGTGATACCAGTTATTTTCACCTCTCACTTTCTCCTTCCCTCCTGTGTTACCTGCATTTTTGTTTTGTGTGATAAAAAGGATGCAGAAGCTTATAGAGTCTCTCAATGACTTTGCAAAGGGCTGGTCATATTCGGAATTATTTTACTGAATTAATTTCTTTGGATTTTTTAATTGGATCTTTCCAGCAGCCAAGATGTCTTTCAGAAATGTAGACAGATATGACGAGAAGCATTTCTTTACAGAGATTATTAGGTGTCTTCCCCCCCTTTTTTTTTGTGTGTGTGGCAAAAATCAAGTTGATTTTTTTTTTTCAAGATTATTTCATGTGCTTCTAATCTTTAACAGCTGATATTATTTTTTTTGGTTGTACTTATTGTGCTTATATCTAATAGATACACCATCTATCTATTGCGCTTACCATAAGCACACCAAATAGCAAAATAACGCTTTGGTTCACTATACAGCTGCAGTGTTAATTTGTGATAGATAACGTTGCTTACTAGAGCTCTCATCAGGAAGGACGCAGAGACAAATGTTTCTATGCCAGAAGTGGTAAGGGGAGGAGTGGAGCAGTAGGGAGGAGGGGGGGAAGCAGCTTCTGCAACCCTTGCTCACTCCAGCACCCGCTGGGAACTGTGCTGGCGCGCAGGCTGCAGAGTTTCTCCGCAGGTCACTGCGTAGCAATGAGTCCTCTTGAAGTCCTCTTGAAGTTTCTGAGAGTTGAAGGCATGCCAAGAGCAGAACCTGGGCCCCCATCGACCCTGGATTGCCACCATCCAACCTTTTTGCGAGCAAGGCTGTAATCATTTTGTAGATACATATATTTTTTTAACGGAGTGGTCTGTTTTT